GTCATTTGCCGCCTCTCTTCTTCTACCGTCACATCATTTCCTTTAAAATAAATGTATTACATATACATGTATCTACTGAGTAAGATAAATACTTAATAAACGGCAATTTGAAATAGGACTGTATAACAAACTTCTATCTAAACCTAAATACTGAAACGTTAGAATCATTATATACTAATTTGCCAAGCTTAAATGAATATAAATTATTTAATAAACAAAACCACACATGAATAGGATAAGTGTGCCTACAGGTGGAGGAGCCTTTAATATTTATTACAATAAATGATCTTCAAACTAATGTCAATTCACTATACACTCACCCGTGCACTACCAATCCAAGCATATAAAGTATATACACAATCAAAATCTTTCTACAAAAGACAAAAAATACATATTAATAAAAGTTAATATAGTTATATACCCACATTTACAATAATCAACTCAAAAAAGTTGGGTGGGTCGGTAACGAACTGCCGCCACATAAACTATAGGCAAACTTTGATTAACTTCCAATGCTTAAGCAATAATTAATCATGCTTTTCACGAATCTCATGAGTTGCATATACCCGTAAAAGCCTCATTGTTGGTATATGCAACCCTATCATAACAGCCATAAAACACAACATGTGCTTAGTATAAACATAGACATGTGTTTATAGTAAACAATCACGTGACCGCTACTTCATCATGTGACCAATAACTTTCATAAATATATTTAATAGTTATCTTTTCTTAAGTGTTTGCTAAGTAGTTCAAGTATTACGATGATGAAAAGATTAAAAATTTTGACAAGTGGTTTATCAAGACAATTGACTTCAAACTGGCTGTAAAAATCTAACTTTAAAGACTGGGATATAAATTTATCTTAATAATTATGTTTACCTATTTTGATGAAGATTGCTTTCGTCTAAGTATAAGTTTGCATCGCTCAACCAATTAAGCTCATTAAAAAAAAAGTAATATTACAAAAAAAAACGAACTCAAAGGGAAATTCAAAACGAAAAGTCCTTTATAAAATGGCAAACTCAAAAGCTCAAACACATCTAACGAATGGAAAACAACTGTCATATTCCTGACTTGGTACAGGCATTTCCTGAGTTTTTGTTTAAATCATTCAAAATCATTTTCTTGTTATGACTATTATTTATATACATTACGATAAAGATCAACTCAGTCGTTAATTTTACTGCGATTGACTAAAGGGCTAAATGCAGACAGGTTAATTGCTCACCTTTAATACACAATCAAGCAATTATAGCAGTTAAAAAAACAACTCGTTGAGCTACGATTTACATTGAATACAATGGTTGACGACATATAATTAAATCTTTTTTTTTATCAAACGCATCATTAATACATATTTAGTAACAATCAAATTACATGCCAGCTTCAATTAGCATTACCATGAACACTGTACATGCTGTATGACCAATCTTTTTTGTTGCATTACATTTGTAAAATATGTACTCGTTTCTTGAGATTGTATCCTCGTTTTCAATCACATATTTATTTAAACGACCTCTTTTTCTTCGACCTTTATTAAATGTTGAGATTTCAATATGGATATATTTGCATACCTTTTTTTAATACTTGTATGCTTGCTATTTCAGCGAAAGTATAAATAATTACTTTGATACTTCTAAAACGTCTAATTCTCCCATATTGGGCAATATAACTCTTGGAAACGAAGACAGTTTCATCTGAAATAGTTTTTGTAAATTATATAAGACATGGTATCCTGCCCATATTTTAATAATGTATTTATTGATTTTTATTTTCATCTGTAGACAGTGTTTTTTTTTTTTTTCATTTCCGTTTCACCTTTGATACTTTCCTTAACCTGTTACCGCATGTTTGATAAGACGGTACAGTTTGAGCCAAAACATAGCATTGATGATACTGATCGATGCAAAACTTGTGTTCAGAAAATTATAACGATATATTTTGAATCTTTTAAGTGTTTGTTTATGTTTTGTATCTTTATCAATGATATCAATTCAGAATATTTGAATAATAGAAAAACAAAGGATATGGGATATCCATCCATGACACAAAATCAGTACATGCACAGCATAGAAACACACAAAAAGCAAGGGAACAGTGCTTTTATTGCTGTTCTTCATCTCAAAGTCACAGTGGAGCAAAAAAAAAAACTCTCACCTTACTGCAAGTTTGGTCTATTTTCAGTTTTCTAAATTCGAACACGAGGAAGTTTTTGTGTTCTAAGTTATAAGCTTTGTCTGAAATTGCAAAAATTGCACAATTATTCAAGCGTATCACAATTATGTTTATTGTTTTTAAAAATGAATGTTTTAATTTTTTCAAACCAATCAAATGCTTTACACGCATTACTCTTTGGAATTTTTAAATTCATAAATGATTGGTCATAGCGTCATACTTATACATTATGAGGAACTTTGTCTTTAATATAAGATTTGGAGACATTTGACCGTAAATGGCAGCCACATATGACCTTGTAAACAACTGAAGTAGCTGGAAACCAGATCTTATCGAAAATAGTTAAAAGTAAGCTATCTTTTGACGCTAAAAGTGTCTTTGAGTACTGAACATCGATTTTAAAACCCCTATTTCTTAAAATCAGTACTAAAATCCATATGTATTTCCAATAGGTTGAATGAACCTCTATATTAATGTTTTCTGAAGAAAAACATTTTTTTTTCTTCTGGCAAGTTTTGTTTCTTGCACATTAATTCTGTTTCGATATGTGTCGAAAAGATATTTGGAACATGATTATTATTATATATATTATATGACAGTGTTTCGTATAAAACTCATCATAGTAACAAAGCTTATATTTTGGTACGCCAGACCCGCGTTTTGTCTACAAATCAATGTCGCTTGAATCAAAACAGTTATAATTCCAAATCAAATATTGACATGAAGAATGATTAATACTTGAAATATCAATTAGTTGTGACACAATATGTTTCTGGTGAAGGAAAACCTTAACGCTTTAAATATTTTTACATTACATCAACCAAAATTTACAGAAAATGAACTTGTCACTCTTATGTAAACCGTAAATAACTAGTAATTAACTGCCGCATAACAAAAATAATAAGAACTACAACCTATTTTTTATTTTTTCGCTGGAAGAGGTACATTTTTTTACTATCTTTTGACACTCTTTAGTGGAGTGACCAAGCCAACGAATTTTCAACTTGAATGGACCACCTTACCTGCAAGATAAATTTTGACTTTTCGTTTAGAAAAATGTTTCATCTTTAATTTTTGCCTGGTCGTAGAACCGAAAAAAGGTGTTATCTTTTAAAATTCGAGTTCAAAGTTCGGCAGATGAGTTTTTCATTAGTTTAAAAAAAAATAACGTCACCAGGGGTTATAGACAGTCCGAAAATAATATCTGAATAAGAGTGGTCTCTTGTGGAGAATTTTCTTATTGGCAATCATACCACATCTTCTTTTTATATATAAGACATTACTCCTTTAACGAAAGAATAAACAATAACCGTTCATTTTCGACTCAATTTTAGAACATTGTAAACATCAAATGACCATTTTTAAGGAAATTCAGGTGGACAACAAGAAAAATGCAAAGATGAATCAGGAAATAGCTTTGAATCGATATTTTTTTTTAACATTTCAAAAGTCATGTACATTTAAAGATATAATTCTGAATTCTACGCGGTTTCTTAAAGAGTAATCGAAGTGAATTTTGTTTCTGTTTGATTATATACCAGTTGCCAGCGGCAAATATTTCACCAGGTAACTGAATAAAATGGTTTAAATGAAGTACTAATAGGTTAGCGAATATATTTTTTGTTATGACCATTGAGATTTTAGGGGTAGAAATTTTGGAATCAGCAGCCTACTATGGAGCCCGCAGAAAGAGTTTCTGCAAGGGTTCGTTAACATGCAAAGTGCACAACATTTTAGAACACCGGGGTCCTTATTATTCTAAAGCAGTATACACCCTCCATGAGTTCTACTGTAGCATATTTGTAAGAAATAATTTGTCATATTTTGATCAGACATCGTTTTCGTCGTCGTCTTCTTCAGAAATTGCTTGATGAGTAAGATGATTACTACATCCCACAGACCCTCCACACGATTAAAAAGTCGTACAATCGAAATATGTGTGTACATGTAACATACACAACGTTTATTTCAAGCTTTTCATCCTTGCATGTTTAAATATATTCTTGAAGGAAAAGTGACATAGGTGCCTCGAAGAAAACCGGTATGTGTTCTCAATTCTTCGAGCAAATGTAAGGTCTTTAAAAATAGTAATGAAATCTTTGATGCCTTCAGTGCTTTTGGACATGTTGGATTAGACAAAAAATGAACTATGAAAGTCATACGTAGGTCCAATAAGTTTTATACAGCTGATGTCTCTAAATCAATGGAAAACTGCTTTAAATAAAGGAACCTTGAGAGCTTTATAGGGCAGTACTTCTGAAACCCTATGATTAAACTGTTCGCAAATAAGAATCTGTTTACGGTGTTTCGAGCATTAATTCCCTTGGACACAATATTACCTGTAAGCTATTTAAGTTTGACACAAAAATGCAATCAGCAGTTCCCTTGACTGTTGTTTAATTGTTAGCAATACCTTGTGTTTTGATAAAACCACAGGTAGTATAATGATGGATATAGAGGGCCAACATGGTAGACATAAATTGTATTTTTCAGAGTATGTCAAAGGTAGTGCTGTATCTTCTAAAACCGGAAGTGACTTTCTTTTCTGGATGTTACAACTATACCTTAAAATGTGAATTTAAGGGTAAAAAGAATTGTTTTCTGGACAAAAAGTTATTAGTTGTATTGTATTTCCCCAATGCAACAATTTTGATATAATATCTTTTCGTGTATTTGACCTTTGGGAACTGGTCGTTCCTATTATTCTAATTGTAAAAGGATAACCAATTTCTTATTCCACATACACATTTTACAATGTATAAGTACATGATTATACTGTTTTATAATTATTAGATTATTCAAACAATTTATTGTTCATTCAGCACATATATACTAACCATACATTTCCTACATGAAGCTTAGTACAGATAAAAAATAAGTCCATTATGTTCTGTAGTTCAGATTATCGTATCATCTTGTCTATGACAAGCTAGGGCTTTGTGTAAATTGCTGTATTAATGTACTCTGCAGATGTTGTTGCCGCGCTTGCCGGTGATATAATTGTATTTTGATAAATATTTGGGATGATGCTACTGTATTGGTGCATTTCGATAATTGAAGGAATTATCGCCTGATAGGCATTTTCATAACCCTCACCAGTTAGTCCTATGAAAGAGCTTGCACTAGAACTATCTCCACCACCACTTGATATAACATCATTGCTTACGTCGTCTCTTGGTATATGGTCATTATTATCTAGTTCAAAGTTAGTTATTGGATCAACAATCACATTGTTATAACTAATTGTTCCTATCTCATCATATTGACCTTCTTGAGTGATTTCCACCGTCGAATTAGATCTTCTTTTTCGCCTCAAACAGCAATATATATGTGAGACAATACAGCATATAAGCATTCCTCCGACAATGTTTCCAATAACCACCGTGCAATTATTGTATGCAGAAGGCGTAATTAGTTCATACTCTGAAAATAGAGTTATGCTTTGAATTAACTTACGTCTGATTTATCAGCATACTGAACTGTTTAATAAGTTTATTGTTGCTTTCAAAACTACTAAATTAATTCAACTTAACCTGTAAGACGGGATTATTGAATGATATGACTAAACTTGAGTTTCTGCAAAGGATCATGTTTTTACATAATTTATCACAATATATTAATGTATATTTCCATTTATTAGGAGACGACTATCCATATTCTAAGAGAGCAAAAGATATGGGGTGGTTGTTCGGCTCAACTATTTATTTTAATCTTTTGCTGAGCATGCTTGTTTCTTTTCCACGAAATATTCATTCAAATCCCGTCTTTTATAAGGTCATTTCTTTTTGATATTTCTCAAAATCTCCCCCCTCCTTTCCAATGGTTGTCCTGTTACTGGAAGGTTGTGTATTGAAAGTTTTTCTTTTAAATTGGTGCAATGTAGGAACATATTTCGCAACAGTCGAATTAACATGCTTTAGCAAACAGTTATCAAAACCTCTACGAGATAACACAATCGTAAGACATGCTAGATGAGTTCAAAGTTTAGAAACAGGAAAACACTATTTTGACATTGTCTTGAAAAATTAGATTTAAAAAAACATTTTGAAGTCTAATATGTTCATATTATACCAAAGTTTTTTTTTTGTGAACATGTTTTTCCTGATTCAAAGTTCTTAAATTAATATTATAAGAACCACAGTAAGAAAACAGGGAGAATAGTTTACATAAATAATATGCTGAAAGGGTTAAATTAAAAATCGAGAATGTTTTATATCAATGAGAAACGATATGTGTCTCCACAGGACGCATTTATGAATTGACTCTTATATATAGCTGTCATGTTTAATAAAAACTTTAATATTAGTATAACATGTATAGTAGCCAATAGTATTCGCTGGTTTATAAACTTAATATAAAATGTGAATCGTGTCAGTTTCAAACTTAGTCATTCACATCTATTGTGATTATCAGATCCTGAAATTTTTTGTTTTGCTTTACACTATTTAGAAAGATTACACTATTTAGAAGAGAAATTGACAACGCCATTTAAAAAAACGGCGATAGACAAAAAGGTCAACAAAACAGTACACAAAAAACGAATAAAGATTGGGCAACATGGACCCCACCAAATTATTGAGGGTGATATAGTATGTTCCTAACGATTATTCAGACCTTGATCCACATATGGTTTCCGTCTGTTTGGTAATGGTCAGTACAAATTCCGTAAAAAGTGTCATCATGTATCATTTATATTACTTATTTATCATGTTTATGTATTTATCTGTCCTGGGTGTTTTTGCGTTTATTTGTACTGTATTAGATCTTACTGTCATTTTAGCAATATTTTTTAACATTGTCATATAAGCGGGAGGTTTGGCTAACTTAAAACCAGGTTCAACCCAACATTTTTCTTAAAATGACCTGTACCAAGTCAGGAATATGGCAGTTGCTATCACACAGTCCGTTTCTTTGCATGTTGGCGTTTGTTTTTGTAGCAGTACAGTGTTTCTGTTGTTCCATTGTTTTTCTCTAATAGTTGATGTGTTAACTCGCTTTTGGTTTTTGACCCGGATTTGTTTCAGTTTAATCGATTTATTACTTTTTTATTTTATATAGCGGTATACTACTAGTGCCTTTATATGATCTCACAATCTATTTCAAATTGAGTCTTTTTTCAACTTTTTAGGGGTTGTTGCGATATTGAGTACTTATGCTCACACTTTAATAAACTTATTATCTGATATTTTGGGCAAATAGGTGCATTTAAGCCAGTACAGAATCAAAAACGCCGATTTCGCAGCCAACCAGTATCTTCCAGATTATGTACTTACTAAAATTTCTAGCTTCTGAAACACTTGTTTTTTTTCACTTTCTCCAATAACATTTCTAGAAAACATGCACACAAAATATTGTTTATTTGATACAAGTTCATATATAGTGTATTTAAATTCATTTTCGAAGCTATCTTTTACGGGACCTGTTGTTTTCCACCATTCTACGTCAGCATTACGATGCTGTATAAAGAAAAATTGATTTGATCCGCCATTAAAACCTGGAATCTGTGACACTATCATGTGGTTTTCGTATTGAACCACTGTTATATTGTTGGGAGGTTCTGGTCGATCTGAAAGTTAAAAATAAAGTAATTTATAGCCAAACTTATCTACAACATTTACAATGTGTCATAAATATCAAACAAATTAAAAAGGCTGAATAACAAACAATCATGCGAGAATTCATCACTGAAAAGTATTTCGAGAAGTAAACGTGACCACAAAAATAGACAATGACTGTTTAGTTCTTTGAATATCAGCTGTATTTGTATAATAAAAAGTAAAATCACAAAAATACTGAACTCCGAAGAAAATTCAAAAAGGATAGTCCCTTATCAAATGGCAAAATCAAAGCTCAAACACATCAAACGAATGGATAACAACTGTCATATGCTTGACTTGGTACAAGGCTAAGAAATCGGTGTTATGCGATCTTTAATTAGCTATTACTCCTGTTAAGAGCCGAGTACAAATACAGGTGATATACAAAGACACTAAACAGATATGTGGATTGTTTTTGCTTTGAAAGACTGTAAAACTCACACTTATTGCATTTATTTTCGATTCAAAATCCTGTTGAGGCCCGCGTAGAAATAATGAAAAAACATTACACAATTAGCTGAAAACCGGTACGCCACAAGGAATCTCGCATGGTCAACAATAATACTCAAAATTAAGAATTATTTATTATAACATATCGATTTATTTCAACAGTAAACATAAATAACAAAACATTGTCCGATTTAAGACAAAAATGTTTGATTCGTCCTACGCTTCAAAATTTCGAACCGTCCGTGCATTCACAATGTTTACTGACATATTGATTACTGATATTGTTGTCTGGTTGATTTTGTGTGTTACACTTTACACATTCAAATTTGGCATCGTAGTAAAATAGAGAAAATCCTGCTGTTCATGTTTGTCTATAAGCAGAAAGTGGGTCGTGGATCAGAGACTGGAAAATTCACGGACTGAGCAAAACGTCATTTGAATGCGATTGCAATACACATTTTGAGGTCACTAAAGTTCACACAACACTGGTCAACAGAAATACACAAAAATAGTCCGACAGTTGTAGGATCTTTCAGGCGATATCTGTATAATATACAAATACAGTCTAGCGATATTTGTTGGACAGTTAAAATATGTTAAGAAATCCAATTTCAGGATAAACTGAATTATATTACTAAAAGAATATGTATAAAGTTAAATGTAACAGAGCCTTAAATAAACTGTACTGTAAGTTTGTAACAACCATGACATTGGTTAATATCTAGTTTCGGTTGATAGGAAATCCAACGGCAGTTTTGATAATTGTTAATGACACAAATGTTACTAATTGTGCTGCACCAGATGTGCCTTTTGACAATTGGTGTAACACGGTGATAAATTTAAAGATAATAACATACTACAATTGTTGAAGAGCTGTTCAAACCAAACATAATATAACGTATATTTAAAAATGATTAATCAAAAGACTGTGACGTTTTGGTATTTTTATTTCCATTTTGCCTTTAACAGTTTGAAAACCTTTTTAGTGCAATTATAACACAGTTTTAAGGATAATAATTGCCATCTTAATGATTGTAGATTAGTGTGTGTACTATATCGCAGCAACATATAACCAGCAGTAAGATAAACACGTGAATATTCAAAAGATAAAGAAAACATACGTACTTCCAGATCTGAGGTAAACAGTATATGAATTACACCCTTTAATGTTACAAGCATCTATTGTATAATTAACAAATTCCTCCTCTGTCGCTAAGCCAAGATGAAACACAATTGTTATTTCATGAACTTTTAGTTTGAAACCATGGAATATATCATGAGTATGAGGCCTTCCCTTTGTAATCCTTGGATGTAGAACCCTATTATCATTTGATATCTTCAGTAGTATAATATCAAGTTTACTGTACAAAACAACAGTGATATTAAGATCACATTTATATTGCCCAAACTGTACTCTTTTGTTTGTTGAAATGAAGATTGGTGGTGCTAATAAAATAAGAACATTTTTTTTTTAATTCTTAAACATTTTTCTCGTTCATTTTATATAATCAAACATATAAATACTCATTTTTTTAAACTTGTCTACATTCTACATTGTGAACTCCATGTATATTCACCAAACAGTTATCGTAATCATCATTACCTCTTTAAAATTAATAGTGTGTATACTTATATTAAAAAAGTAAGAATAATGCAGTGCAAAATAAAATTTTAGCCTTCCATTTGATGGTGGAAAACAGATATATTCAGCACTCAATTCATGACACCAATCTATAGAAATTTAAGCTTCCCCGGCAATTAATAGAATATATATTAACCAAATGCAAGAGCAATATGATATTTTACATGATTTTACTTTACTTTATAATGTTATACCTTCGAATTGAACATTTACTGCTCCTTCCTGATACAGAGTTCCATTTCTAGCTATAATACCATTGGATACTTTACATACGTAAATTCCAACCTGTTCAAGAAGTGTCTTATTGCTTTGTGCTATTATCGTGAGTTTGCCGGTTTGAGTTCCTTCAATTTTACACATTGTTTCATCGAATTCCGATCGATAATACCATTTTGCGAAGGTGTAATTGTTAGGTTCACCCCTTGGATGACAGTGTAGATTGATAGTTTGTCCAGTAATTGTGTACGACACACTGACCACTGGAGGATCTATCAAATATTATTACATTTAGTTTATTCAAATCACGAAAACAATTGTAAGTTATTATAATAAGTGTTACTTTAAAATTTTAAAACACTGCTATGTCATGAACGAAAACTGTAAATTCAGAAATGTGTTTATTATTGCGAAAATGGGATAAATTTAAAAACGTCTGTTCTAAATTTTGAAAGCATTGTTTTTTATCACACCTCTTCCTGTAATTACATTACATTTTTTGTCATTATCCCTCGCATTTGTGTTAAAACATTTCTAAAATTTTAGTACTTGGCAATAGTTTTACACCAGATGTACAGACGGTCCGATAAATCATTTTGATTTCGAATGAGATAATATAATAGTCGAATCGAATATAGTATACTAATCGAAAAGTTGATGTAGATATGTTCAAATTGATCAAAATTGGTAAAATTAAAACTTACACAGAATCTTGAGATATATATGCGATTCGGATATTCCTATTCCGTTTGAAGCAATACATGTATATATTTGTGTGTTAGTACGATGGATCGGGCTGTATGTCAAACATGATGAGGTATTATTGCCAACTGAATAGTTCACATTCCCTTTCCATATGATCTGATCCATTGGTGGATTGCTGTTTCCTTGACAACATACTTGTGTCGAAGTATTTTCAATAAATTTTTCACGTGCAGGACGATCGACAGTTAGTGATGGTTTGTCTACAAAACACAAAACTTCTTCACACATATTACATGATTGTGTTTTATTGCAAAAACCATATACTTGAAACTTTGAAATTGTTTTATTTGGTTTTTCTTATATTCAATTCTCGATTGTGCCTATTCATCTTTTGAAGAGTCAATTTAAGTCGTTTTATAAACAATGGCTAATATTTTGTTCACCAAAACGATCTTGCGTATTTGCTATAAAAACAGTGCTATTTTTAAAATTAAATTGTAACTAGATAGATCCTTGTCCTGTATTTTTTTTGGATCAAAACCCGTAGAGTTATACTGACAATAAAATCGAGTTCAGATCGCAAGGAAAATGTATCAATTACCGGGAAAATGTTACAATTACGTATATATATATGTATACTCTATTCAAATGAGGTAAATATATGAATTTTTGTAAATCCTGATATTAACTGAGACCAATTGAATACGACACGTTCACCTTAACAAGAGGCAGTTAATTCTTTGTTCACTTTTATCTTTGCATTAATAAATATATTGAATAGCATCTATCATGTCTTTATGCCAAAACCAGATGTTCATCAAAAAATTAACCATCATGTATATATGGCGTTAGATAAACGCGTTGAATATTTTTTGTTTTCCTTTTTAGGGGTTGCACGTGAAGTTCATGGGGTTACTCATATTTAGTGTTTTCTTCAGAATTCATCTGACAATTCGAGCGATGATAATCAATTTTTACTTGTTCCGTTAGCTGAATCCACTGTTTTATTTACAGTTCAATTTAATAGGCAAACTTTCTAAATATTATTAAATGCAATACAATCAGTTATAAAAACCATGTATTGTACATACTTAATTTGTATGGTTTCTCTTTATTCCTCTATTTCAGATATTTGATAAGAAATACGATTTTTCCATGTAGTACATCGGTTTTACATATTAAAAAATTGTTATGAGATTACTGCTGTTGAGATCGAAGTTTGTTTTGTTGTAGAGGACAGTTAGTGCATTTTTAGTTTCCTTTAGGGATATAGTTTCCATTTGGGCTAGAGCTGCGTTTTACTAATGACTGGTTTATGAAGTCGGAACTGACAATAGAATACAAAATAATCTTCTCCAATTTGTTTGGCTTTTTTCTACAAAAATCAGATAAAACAAATTGAAAGCATAATAAACGAATTTAACGTTCGGGTTTTTCTATACATTCCCAATGTGACAAAATTCATGTTATAACATCAGTAAGACAATCAAAATAATCAATTGCATCATTTATTGCGATTGAATCCTGGTCAACTGGCATAACACATTTATAAAAATAAACTAGAAATTGTTTAATACTTACATTGAATATCCAAAATAACTTTATCGGTCAATGGTTTTTCTAACATGGCACTTACAGCAGTACATTCCAATGATTTCATATTGTCCTTTCTGCTTGGAACAAACGAATAAACTATTTTATCACTTTTACCTTTCTGAACGGTTGAACCGTTCTCTGTTAAAAAGAGAGTTTCTGGTGGTTTACCGTTGTTAACAGTACATACTATATCTAGATTATGTCCTTCGATTCCGCGAATATGTTTTTGTTGTCCTGTTTCAAAAGTCTTAAAAAAAGTCAAGTTGTTTGGTGGAGCTACAAGTGAACATTTAAACATATTTGAATAGACATATGATAAACATAAAATGCTATCAATAATATATGAAATAAAACAAACAAATTATTTTGGACAAAATACTAGATTCAGGTGTGTATACCATTCGAACAAATCATAGTTAAATAGATATGTTTTAGAGACCAGGATTAAAATTTTATATTTGCGCCAGACGCACGTTTCGTCTACAAAAGACTCATCAGTGACGCTCGAATAAAAAAATGTTAAAGGCCAAATAAACTACGAAGTTGAAGAGCGTTGAGGACCAAAAATTCTTAAAGTTTTGCCAAATACAGCTTAGGTAAATGCAGATTCGTGTGAGTCAATTATCACTCAGACTTGTTTTATATATGACTTTTCCAAATTTCATATATTCTTAATTAGACAATTTTATACAGAGTAATTGTGTTTATAAAATCTTGAAAAAAGTAAAATTTCTTTTATTTCATTTGTCAGCTAAATGTCAAATTGCTAATTGTTAATTTGATATTTTAGAAAATACCTTGTAGTAATTAAACTATCATCTTGTGTTCAATCAGACACGTTTTTCACGAATCAGACCATATGGGTTGTTTTACATATTCAATTTTATAGACATCCCGACACTTACTCTTTAAATTGACGGTGAAATTATGTATATAAACTATTTCAGATTTCGAATACTCGCATATGTAATGCCCCACACCAACTTCCGAGAAATTTGTAACAACCAAACTGCAATCATTGGTATTGTTATCTCCAATAATTTCAACGTTCAAGTCATGAAGTATAGGATTGAGCATTATGCCTGCCGCATAAGGTTCTTCCTCATTTTTATACTTTTTTGTAATTGAAGATATTTTTGGACCTGACCACGAACTTTCATTGTGTAGACTGCATGTGCAATTGAGGACAACATCTTCACCCTTTTCTTTCAAAATCCTTGTATAGTTTTTTTTATAAACAAGATCACCTGTTTAATTAAAAGACAAATCTGTTATAAATTATTTTGATTAATAGATTCCCATTCTTTTTCTTTCATATGTTGAAACATGTAAAATATGAGAAAAAATTTACAGAATAAGTGAAGAAAATAATTAATTATTACAATTTTTTACATTGTTAATTTGAAGAAAGAGGTGTCTTTTAATTGCATTTAAAAGGTATATGATATCAAGTGTATTCCTTAAAAACAGACATTTATACGTTATGAATGGATATAAGAAGATGTGGTATGTGTGTGTATACAATATATATATATATATTTTTAAACTGGTTAACAATACATACATTTTTCATCATGTTTATAGTAACACTAATGATAACTCGATTATGGTTTCTGTTTTCCCATATGATATGTTTGATATGAGACACTGAAAACGTTACTCATGCGAAATCTTTTCAAGAAAATTGTGAAATGTGCCTTGTATTAGATGAAGAGAAGCTTTTTTGGCTGCTAAAATGGTATCGACTGTTGACTTTTTGCTTATATATTAATGTTGGTATATGCTATGTAAGTGTTCTGTTGACTACCAGTTTGTGGATAGTTTATTTTACTGGTCATGTTTTTCGATTTGTAAAAAAGCGAATATAACCATAAATATACCATGAAAGTAGATTACCAATTGGTATTCAAATTTCATGAATCTATTCTGACTATACAAAAACAAGGTAAAACAAACAGTTCTTGTAAATATTGCTCTATAAAGCAAAGACAAGAAATGTCAATGTTTTCTGTCAATACGTTGGTACTGTTAAAGAAATAAATATCGGATAGGTTTCTAGTTTGATAAGCAGTCAATATCTAACTGTGGTTGTGGTTTCATATTTGCAAAGTTTTTGTTGCTGAGAGGTTGATCACGGCATTCATTTAAAAAAGATTTGATAATTGAAAAATATCTTTAACCTTTGAATTTGTTTTACAAATGTCAACTATTTAAATAAATTACCTGAGGAATAACTATCAAGCAGAAATAGCAGAAATATCTTCAAAATACAGTAACTGGTGAGCATTCTCAGTCTATTACAAAAGGTTACCGAAAATTAAAATAGTTTAAATATTAACAATAATCATAACTATTTCAATTTGCCATTTACAAATTATTTACACCAATAGGTAAATAATTGTTAATTGACATCTTATTTTCATATTTTCCTATATAAGTGATACTTTCCTTGAAACTCATACGGAGGTTAATTTAATCGCCATAAAGACATGTAAATAACTTTAAAGAAAGGGGCTACTTATAAACAAACTAAAACTGTTTAGTATGGCCTCAAAAATAGACTATTTAGTAGTTGGTAACACGCACAATGAAGCAGAATGTACAGATAAAAACAAGGGATTCGATGTAAGATATATATTATTCCTAATTATCCTATGTATGATAATGTAAACTTAAACTTTACCATGGCGTTTTTCATGTTGTCAGTATTTTTGACTTATGAGTTTGAATGTGCCTTTGGTATTCTTTGCCTCTCTTAAACTTTTCGGGTAAAACAGGCAAGTTTCACTCACGTCAATTTCACTTGAATTTAAATTCATGTGAATCTCACGTGAAATTCAGGTGAATGTCACCTCAATGATCTTATACGTGAAACTCACGTGAAATTAGTTGCTGTGAGTTTCATGTGAATCTCATGTGAAACTCACGTGAATTTCACGTGAAAATCACGTAAACTTTTTTTCACGTGAAATTCACATGAATTTTTAAAATAAAGTAATTCAAATAACATCTAAATTTTCAAATTTTATCAAAATCATGAAAAATACCAATTTTTTTTGGTAAAGTTCACGTGAGATTCATGTAAAAAATTTCACATGAGATTCACGTGAACCTCAATTCACGTGAAATTCACATGAAAATGTTCACGTGAGTGTCATATATAAACTCGTTTGAGGTGAATTTCACGTGAATTTCATGTGAGATTCATGTGAAATTAACGTGAGCAAATTTTGCCTGTGTATACCAATATACGAATTTTGCAGTTGAAAGATAAATTCTCCTTCCGTTCAAATTTCCTTGTATGCAGACAAGATGAAATTGCTTGTTTGTTTTTTATTGTACGAAATAATCAACTTATCAAATTGCAAAGCTAGAGGGACATGTTCTTGTATACAACATCTGTTACGAAAACATATTCAATCACATTGTCTCTTAAATATTTTTATTGGCAGTATGTAATCATTTACATTTCGTAAGCCTTGTATATTTATCAGTTACTATATCTTCTGAACATTGTCTGCTTGCTTTCAGAAGATTCTAAATGAACAAATCCGATAAATTGAATGATTTCTTTTCATTAGTTTGATACATTTAATAGTATAATATAAGATATTAATGTTAATGGATAGATTAAAGACAAATTTGTGGTTGCGCATGCTAATAGGTTAAATATGTATACATTACAAAACTATTGCATCGTATTTATTTTCACTATGCGTTTGTTTAAATTACATCCATTAAGGGGCTTAAAAATAATGAATATATTAATTGAATAGATTTCAACTAGTGGAATTTTTCAAACCACACTGACTTAATAAGAACGGCCGAAATTGATCAACTTCGATTGAAGCATTCGCTAAATTATGTTTTAGTACATGTTCTTTAGAAACATATCATATCTTTACAGTCAAAATGTGGAATTAAACAGATACGGTGTGATATCTCTACTGCGTTAGCCTCTTGCATACAAAAAATCTAAAGTTATAATCAATCATTCATATTGCATTCTTCAGATATCAATTAGACATGGTCATCTTTTTTAAGTTTCTTGCGTGTTATCTTTTTTCATTCAAAACGACTAAAACTGCCATTTTTGAGATCTTGTAATTACTTGTTAATACACATGAGAGAACGCCTTAGACAATATATGTAGTAGAACATATCTTATTAAAAGATGGTGTTGCTCGGAAAAGAAATCTTGACTTCGTTAGCTTTTGATCAGACTTATTTTGTCAAAAATGTGCGAAAAAATTGCCATTTTTATTTTTGAACATTCCACATGATTCTAGTGAACTGTTTGCCGCTATCCAATATAACCCTACGTTCCAGTGGTATACCTTATTTCCTGATCGTCATCCCGGTCGTCCCACTTTACGTAACATATATGTTGTATTAATATTTAACAATGCTTGATCTTGTTATAAATATGCCTAAAGTTATCATCATTTGACTTTAAGCAAGCAACATAAATCAATCAATAATCCAAGGATTGTCATCAAACGTGTTACTTTTTTAATTATAGGTGGTAATCAATGACTGTTACCAAACCGCCTTTATTTATGATTTATTTCACGCAACGGAATCAGTTGAATTTATAAATGTTGCCTCAATGAAGGAAAATGTGTATAAAGTAACAACCAAATGACTCAAACAAGTATCATATAACTGAAGTATTTCAAACACATTGGACAGCACAATTGAAATAGTTCTTAATTCTACTGATAAGAAACGTAACGCCTTTGTCTATTGTCTTTGTGAATGTTACTTTTACTGTTTGGTCTGTTTTTGGTAATGTCCGTTTGACGTGACTCTGTACTTATACATCCCGTCATTCTGTTATTCTTCTATGATATTCTTTGTATTCTTGACATTCTTTTTGCTGGTGTGCTTTGTCTATATGCCTTTTTGTATCTCTTTGATACATATGACGTGGCTCTGTACTTATACATCCCGTCATTGTGTTATTATTCTATGATATTTTTTTCACTTTTGTCTTGCATTTTTGCTTATGTACTTTGTCTATATGCCCTTTTGTGTTTCTTTGATACATATGACGTGGCTCTGTTCTTATAGGTGTAATACCACCATTGATTTTCCCCTATTAGTCTTTGTAAAATTTGCACTTTTCAAAAAATTGTGCAGAATTTATCTTTGTTTCAAATAAAGAAATACTTGGCATGAGTAAAGATTTATCCTGTCCAGTACTATAGAAAAAATTTCACATAACATTTCATTGCATATAAGAAAATAACCATCACTGGAA